CTCTTACACACACACACACACACACACACACACACACACACGTGCACGCTGCACACACAGGCAGACACACGCAAGGGGTGGCGAGCTGCAGCTTAGCAGCTGACCCCCCTTCCTCTCCACCCCAAAGAAGCTGCCCACGTTCACTTTCGCCAATTGCTTGTTTCTACTAAACACCTCAACCCCAACCCAAGCATGCCCACCCTCCCCTTAACTCCTTCCTTCCCAGTGCCCACAGTTACGCCAGGGTCACCAAAATTCATGGAGGGGGAGGGAAGAGTAGTCGGCGGAAAGGCTGCTAGTCAAAACTGGAATGAGAGCAAAATACTGCGGGTCATGCCTTCACAACGTCTAGGAAGGGCACAAGCATGCCCACCCAGCTCTCTTCCCGCATCTCTAGAGCCTCAGAAAGCGCAGCCCGTCCCCACTTCTATCAAGGTCATAATATAGATTCCCTAAGAAAGAATAGGCACCTGGACACAAGGTGTGAGTTGAAAACTTCACAGATGGTTTGCAGCCTAACCTGGAGTTGACTTCCTACGAAGTCTACACCCAGACAGGATTCTGGACCTCCCTTGCCTGGTACTTGAAGGACAGCAATTAGCTTCAAGTTACCACTAGGCCTTCCAGGAGGCCATCCAAGTGTCCAGGTCCCGACAAGATAGTCTTGCCACCAAGGGTAGTCTTATCAAAAAAAACGATCAAAGTTCCAAGCGCCCCCTCCTCTCCACCCCCCACCCCACGCAAAAGGCTCCCATTGTCCCTTCCTGGTCCTGGTAGGGTGAGACAAGAAAGATTCACCCACCAAGCTGGTGCTAGCCAGTCTTTCCTGGCATCACCTTTCTGCCCAAGCTTCCAGGGTCTTACTCCCTACAGGGACCATGAATCCCGGCTCAGCAGCCCACACTACCAGAATCAAAGACGTGGAGAACATTCTTGCTCCCATCAGGAGCAAAATGGTAAAAGTCATCCTTAGCATTTCACCCAAAAACCTCAGCCATCAGCTCTCAATTGGCTGCTCCTGCTGCCAAGGGAGTCTGGGCACGGGCGCTGCCAGCCAGTCCCACCAGTTCCTGAGGATCCTCTCCCCTGTCTGTGCCTCCTGACCTGTCACCCGAGCCGTCAGTTTTGGAGTCCCCATGGTGCTTGCTACTAGTGACACACCTTTGACATTTAAGATTTCTTAGCACTCTGGATGGTGGTGGCGCATGCCTTTAATCCCAGCACAGAGGCAGGCGTTTCTCTGTGAGTTCGAGGTCAACCTGGTCTACAAGAGCTAGTTCCAGGACAGCCAGAGCTGTTACACAGAAGCCCTGTCTTGGGGGGCGGGGGGGAAGAGGGGATTACTATCTTTTTATGTCCCGACTTTCCCTCCCAAATTGTCTTGTAGCATTCTTGGGAAACCAGGTGAGCTCTGTGTGTGTGTGTGTGTGTGTGTGTGTGTGTGTGTGTGTGTGTGTGT